TAGAATAGAATATAGAATAGAATATAGAATAGAATAGAATTAGAAGAGATCAGAATAGAATAGAATAAAATAAAATAGAATAATAGAACAGAACAGAATAAGAATAGAATATAATAGAATAATAGAATAGAGAATAGAATAGAAAATAGAATAGAATAGAATAGAATATCTTTATTGTCATTGTGTAACTCACAACAAAATTAAGTTTACTGCATTTGTTAAATTAGTAACATAGTTGTAAAGTGAATCTGGCTTCCCCATTCATTTTGCTGGTCAGAAGATCGCAAAAGGGAATCCCATGACCCCGGGACACTGCAACCGTCATAAATATGAGTCAGCTGCCAACTGTCTGAATTTTGATCATGTGACGATGGGGGTGCTGCAAGGACCGTTATGTGTGGAAAACTCTCGTAAGTCACTTTTCCCAGTGCTACTGTAACTCTGCGCAATCACTAAATGAACTTTTGTAAGTCGAGGACTCCCTGTAGTAACATCCTTGTTAAATGAATCTGGCTTTCCCCATTGATTTTGCTTGTCAGAAGGTCGCAAAAGGGGATCCCATGATCCCGGGACACTGCAACCGTCATAAATAGGAACAGGTTGTCAAGCATTTGAGCGTGAATCGTGTGACCCTGGGGATGCTGAAATGGTCATAACTGTGAAAAACGGTCATTTTTCCAGTGTTGTCGTAACGTCAAACAATGTCAGGGAATTACGTAGCCAGGGTCCAAATAGAGTCGGAGAAGACAAGAATTTAAAGTTTTGTATAAATATATTTACAGTTTTATATAAATATATTTACAGTAAAAAAAGAGCGGCAAACAGGAGCATCGTCAGGTAAATCAAGAACCTCCCCCTTTTCACTCCAGGCAACCAATCACAGTTCAGATTCCCTCAGGCAGTGGCCAGCTCTCTTTAATCAATCAGCTATAACTGTGTGTTCTTATTCATTTGTCCAACCCTTCACTGCTCCACCTATTACAGTTTAAATATAACAATGGTCACTAAATATTGTTGTAATTCGAGGACTAGCTTGTATTCCTCTCCTCAGGCCCTTTTCCCTTTCATTGGGGGCCATTAAGGAATCTCAGGCAAGGATCCTTGCCCTCATCTGGCCAGCAGAGGGAGCGTCAATCTCTTAATCCTTCCCGTCTTAATCCCATAGAGAGGAAAGTGATGCAATCTGTAATAATAATAATAATAATAATAATAATAATAATAATAATAATAATAATAATAATAATAATAATAATAATAATAATAATAATAATAATAATAATAATAATAATAATAGAATTGGAAGGGACCTTGGAGGTCTTCTAGTCCAACCCCCTGTTCGGGCAGGAAACCCTGTACCATTTCAGACAAATGGCTGTCCAGTCTCTTCTTAAAAACTTCCAGTGCTGGAGCATTCACAACTTCTGGAGGCAGGTTGTTCCACTGGTTAATTGTTCTAACTGTCAGGAAGTTTCTCCTTAGTTCCAGGTTGCTTCTCTCCTTGATTAGTTTCTATCCGTTGCTTCTTGTGCTGCCTTCAAGTGCTTTGGAGAATAGCTTGACACCCCCCCTCTCTTTTTTGTGGCAGCCCCTGAGATATTGGAACACTGCTATCATGTCATCTCTTCATTAAACTAGACATACCCAATTCCGGCAACCGTTCTCTGTATGTTTTAGCCTGCAGTCCCCTGATCATCTTTGTTGCTCTTCTCTGCACTCTTTCTAGAGTCTCACCATCTTTTTTACATTGTGGTGATCAAAACTGAGTTTTGCCTTCCATGTTTTTAGACTCATGCTGGAGCCTATCTTCAGGGAATCTCTCTAGCCGAGTATGCACTGTTCTGTGTGGGGCATTTCTAGTGCCTGTTGGGTGTGGCTTTTTAGATGTTGATTTGGATGTGTTGATGGCTGACTTTTAGGTCATTAGCTGTTGTTTGCTTGTGTTGCCCAGCCTTTGCCGCCTAAGTACTTGATACGCTGGTGGTAAATTAGCACTCCTGTGTGACAAGGAGCCTGTTTCCCAAGCTTCAATCATTTCCCTGGCTGTTTTTGTGCCTGCTCATCCAACAATCTTAGTAGCTGCAAAACTGAATGAATCTTTTAGTGATCCCTGCAATTAACTCTTTTGGGGTAGGGGCCAGACCATGAAGAATGTCTAAAGTATGGGAGAAAATGTGGGTGAGGATGGGGGGGGGTCATACCTTTGCAGGAAAGAAAGTCTAACCTGGACATCAAATGTGGTAGGGCCTTTTCTCACCTTCAGTGAGGTTGTTGAGATTTGACAAATTCTCCAGCTCACTCCTGAAGACCCACTCAACGGGCAGAAAGGTCCCCTTCTTCACCTCCTCTATCCAGGACACCAGAGTCTCCACCCTCCCTTTGCGGCTGTCAAAGTGAATGATGGGCTGGTTGTCCAGGTTGCCCCAAACGAAGAACTGGCTGGGCTCTGACAAATGGTAGGAATAACACAGGGAGTGTGAGGGAGAGCCTGGGAAGGGAGAAGGGTAGAATTAGCGGGTCTGTGCTGCAGCTCTATCCCCTCCAACATTTTATTGTCACATTTTATTGTCTCCCCCCCCCTCCCCAGTGCCACTGGAACAAGTGGTCTACCCTCTTTCGACTGTGCTTGGGAGAAAAGATGCTGAGACTCTAGAAAGAGTACAGAGAAGAGCAACAAAGATGATTAGGGGACTGGAGGCCAAAGCATATAAGGAACAGTTGCTGGAATTGGGTATGTCTAGTTTAACGAAGAGAAGGATGAGGGGGGACATGATAGCAGTCTTCCAATATCTCAGGGGCTGCCACATAGAAGAGGGAATCAAGCTATTCTCCAAAGCACCTGAAGGCAGGAGAAGAAGCAAGGGATGGAAACTAATCAAGGAGAGAAGCAACCTAGAACTAAGGAGAAACTTCCTGACAGTTAGAACAATTAACCAGTGGAACAACCTGCCTCCAGAAGCGGTGAATGCTCCAACACTGGAAGTTTTTAAGAAGAGACTGGACAGCCATTTGTCCGAAATGGTACTATAGGGTTTCCTGCCTGAGCAGGGGGTTGGACTAGATGACCTCCAAGGTCCTTTCCAACTCTATTATTATTATTATTATTATTATTATTATTATTATTATTATTATTAGTAGTAGTAGTAGTAGTAGTAGTAGTAGTAGTAGTAGTAGTAGTAGTAGTAGTAGTAGTAGTAGCAGCAGCAGCAGCAATAGTAGTAGTGGTAGTGGTAGTGGTAGTAATAAGGCCCATGCCTTTAAAGACAAAGAGGAAGTTCTCAGCAGCTCCTAACTGATCTTGAAAACATCTGGACAGGCCCACATCTGGTTAAGGTACCCATCACCCCTATAGCCGCTCTGAACCCTCGGGGGTCCCCAGTGTGGGAAGTCAGCCCCTCCCCCACTCCCCCCCCCAGAAAGAAATATTTTTGGAAATATTTAAAAGGCAGAATACATTTCCCTAAAGGATTTTAAAAGCCGAAACCAACCCCGTCCCCCAAGTTTCTCCGCCCCAAATAGAAACCAAGTCTGCAGACTTGCAGATGTGATAATCTTGTCCGAAAGACTGGAGTCAGGAAACTGGGATTAGGAAGAAAGGTCCCTAGGATCAACAATCAAAAATCTAAGAGTCAGCCACAGCCACAGCCAAGCAGGAACGGAGGAGAGAGAGAGAGCACCACACACACACACGCACACACACTCCCGAGCTCGCAAATTCCTTCAAGAAATCGCCGCGGCGGCCACCCCGTTCGGAACATTCCCTTTCCACTTTCACTTTCTCTTTTCCCCAGAAACAACCTAACGCGAACCGATTACAAAAGCAGCATTAAAACGACTTAAAGTTCCAGTGTTTCTCAACCTTGACAATTTTAAGGCATGTGGACTTCAACTCCCAGAATTCCACAGCCAGCATTGCTGGCTGTGGAATTCTGGGAGTTGAAGTCCACATGCCTTAAAATTGTCAAGGTTGAGAAACACTGGAAGCGCGAAGAAGTTTGGGAAGGGGGAAGTTTGGGACGGGGGGGGAGGGAAGGTGGGGAGAGAGACCCAGGAAGGGCACACGCGCCTTTGGTGCTTCCTCACACACACACCCCCGCGGTCCAATCCTTCCGGGAACTCGCCCGTAGCAGCCCCCCTTCCTCCTTTTCCTTCCCCGCTCCGAACGTTGTTCTCTTTTCACTTTCTCAGAAACAAAATTCGAACTGACTCCAAACGAAATCGGAGCAGTTTTGTTTTTTTTTTTAACGAGGCTTGGCGAAGCACCTGGGAAAGAAGCGGCTTGCGAGGGGGAGGGGAGGGAAGGGGAGAGACCCGGCCCAGGACAGGCTCTGCCCCTCCCTTTCTGCTCCTGCCCACCCCACTCACCGCAGCAGTCCCCCGGCACGGAGACCCCCAGCGCCGTCCCCAGGACCAAAAGGCACGCCGGGCATGGTGGCATCTTTTTCCAACCTCCCGGACATTTGACTCTCCCAACTGAGGCCACTTTCTCTCCAAGCCCTGGGAGCTCCGCTGAAATTCTCCGCCCCTCCAGCCCATCAGCCAAGCCCCAGGGCGCCACCTGATAAAAGAGGTTTTAGAGAGGTGGGTGTGGGGAGAGAACTTCAGAGCGGGCCCAGACTAGGGTGGTACCTGACAGGCTTCGCCCGGTGCTGGGAACTGAACCAGATTGGGCCCGTCCCCTGCTGGAAGAGTCAGATCCAGGAGGAGAAGACATGCCAATCTCTCCATCCTACGATGGAGGATGGATCCCCTTTCTATCCTCCCCCCCCCCACTCCAGGTTTCCCCATCTCTGTTTTTCCATTCCCACCACTCTTCCCATGGCTGCAGCCAGGACACATCAATCATCATCATCATCATCTTATATTTTAAGGAGGTACCTGGTTGACACCTAGGATGTTGGTAGCAACCCGTGTCAACCATCAGCGCCAGCCAATTTGAATGTTCAGTTGACTGAGGTTCATGTTTAATAAATAATAATAATAATAATAATAATAATAATAATAATAATAATAATAATAATAATAATAATAATAATAATAATAATAATAATAATAATAATAATAATAATAATAATAATAATAATAATAATAATAATAATAATAATGGTGGTGGTGGTGGTGGTGGTGGTGATGTTGGGAGGGACCTTGGAGGTCTTCTAGTCCAACCCCCTGCTCAGGCAGGAAACCCTATACCAGGGGTAGGCAACCTTGGCTCTTTTATGACTGGTGGACTTCAACTCCCAGAATTCCTGAGCCAGTGCTGGCTCAGGAATTCTGGGAGTTGAAGTCCACCAGTCATAAAAGAGCCAAGGTTGCCTACCCCTGCCCTATATCATTTCAGACAAATGATTGTCCAATCTCTTCTTAAAAACCTCCAGTGTTGGAGCTCCCACAACTTCTGGGGGCAAGTTGTTCCACTGGTTAATTGTTCTCACTGTCAGGAAGTTTCTCCTTAGTTCTAGGTTGCTTCTCTCTTTGGTTAGTGTCCATCTGTTGCTTCTTGTCCTGCCTTCAGGCGCTTTGGAGAATAGCTTGACTCCCTCTTCTTTGTGGCAGCCCCTGAGATATTGGAACACTGCTATCATATCACCCCTCGTCCTTCTCTTCATTAAACTAGACATACCAATTCCAGCAATCATTCCTTATATGTTTTAGCCTCCAGTCCCCTGATCATCTTTGTTGCTCTTCTCTGTACTCTTTCTAGAGTCTCAACATCTTTTTTACATCGTGGTGACCAAAACTGGATGCAGTATTCCAAGTGTGGCCTTACCAAGGCATTGTAAAGTGGTATTAACACTTCCTGGGGTGGAAGGGGGGACAATCATTAAAAGAGGGCTTCAGTCTTTTGAAGCCAAGTCTTTTTAAATTATTTTAACTGATCTTATTAAATTACGAACCTTCACCCTAAAGTAGCGGCCCCCCAAACTTTGGGGCACCAGGGACCAGTTCCGTGGAGAGAGGTTTTTCTGCCGACTGGAGGGGGCATGGTTTTGCATGCTGCCTGCATCACAAGGATGGGGCTTCTCTTCTTTGTGTGGCCCGGTGCCGGTCCACTGACCAGGGGTTGGGGACCCCTGCCCTAAAGTTTAGCTTTGCTTGGGAGGTAACACCATGAATTTATAGCTCACAATCAGTTTGTTACTAGGAGGCCGTACGAAATGATGACAGATTTGTTTTTTTTAAAATAATATGCCTTTTGACTTCCTTTATTGTAGAAATGTAGCCATACAGGTAGTCCTCAACATTTAGGGACCTTCTGACAAGCAGAGTCAATGGGGAAGCCACATTCACTCAATAACTGTGTTACTAACTTAACAACTGCCGTGATTCACGTAACAACTTGTGGCTGGAAGGGTGGTCAAATGGGGCAAAATTCACTTAACGAATGTCTTATTCAGGCTCAATTGTGGTCATACGTTGAGGATGAGTAGTGACAATGGCAAAACAATTTGGAGCCCCATTTCAACACCGTGGCCATTGAGGACACTTGGAGGCTTATCTGTGTCCACAGGGTCCCCTGAGTGTTACAAATGGATGTGGAGCTTTTTTGGAACTGCTTATAGACTGGAGATGTCGTATCCCTATCCGTCTGTTGACAGAGGGCCTCTATTGAATAAAGCAAAGTCCACATTTTGGACAGAGAGGACCTGCTGGTTTGAAAGAGGGGTCAAAGAGGCCATCTGTGTCAACACTGAACAGCCCTCTCTCAACAGAAGGGGAGGGATACGACATCATCTACCTCCAATCGACAACACCGTCCTTTCAACAGTTGCAAAATGACTCCACACCCATTTGCACCACTCAGGTGGCCTTGAGGACACAGATAAACCTCCAAGTGGCCCCAACCCTCCTGGACCGGTTCCCTCTAGTCACGAGTTGGCCAGGGATAATGTCCCTGGGTGAATCGCCCGTGGCCAGGCAGCGGGGTGGGACAGGGGGGTGTACGGAGACCAGTGGTAGGGGTAGATCTCTGGCGGAGTGCGCGACAATTCCATCTAGACTCGCAAGGGGTCTGGGAGAGCAATAAGCATATTAACCCAAAGAGTGAAGGGCTATCTTCTTTTAGTCTCTTTACCAAGCTATCCAGGGAGCTATGGCTTCAGTCCTCCCTCTCTCATATTAGCAATAGCACTTAGACTTATATGCCGCTTTACAGCCCTCTCTAAGCGATTCACAGAGTCAGCCTCTTGCCCCCCAACAATCTGGATCCTCATTTTACCGACCTTGGAAGGATGGCAGGCTGAGTCAACCTTGAGCCGGTCAGGATCGAACTGCCGAACTGCTGGTCAGCAGAAGTAGCCTGCAATACTGCATTTTAACCACTGCGCCACCACGGCTTCCTTCCTCTGGTATTTTGCATCAAGATGTGGACCCCTAAGTAAAGGGAAAACCCCTTGTCGGATCCACCATTGTCCTCCTGCTCTCAAATCCCATGGAGAGGTTTGGGGTGAGCAGGGGGTTGGACTAGATGAGCTCCAAGGTCCCTTCCAACTTTACTACTACTACTACTACTACTACTACTATTATTATTAATTATTATTATTATTATCCTTGCCAGTTGGAGCCCCCGAGGCTTTCGATGAGCAGAGCAAGGGGCACACCCCATCTGTGTCCCCCAAAGCCTCTTCTCTCCCTTCCCAAATTCTCCACCTCACAGGGCTGGTCAGTCCTGGGATCCCTGTTAGGAAAACCTCAGGGATTACCTAGGACAGTGGTGGCGAACCTATGGCACGCGTGCCAGAGCCGGCACTCAGAGCCCCCTCTGTGGGCATGCGCGACATGCCCCGGAGATAGCAATCGTTCCTCTTCAACCAGCCGCCCGCTAAGTCACTCAGGTCCCACATGGCTGGATGCATCCCAGCACACATGCGCTCGCTGGCCTCTGTGTGCAGGGGCCGATGGTGTCAGGCAGCAGCCGCCCTGGCCCCTGCCTCGCCTTGCCCTGTGACAATGACACCCTTGCCCTGCCTCGCCGAGCCTTGCCTCACCTCACCCCCCAGGACAAGCCTCCTACCCACCACCCCATCTGCCAGAGACCCCCTGGATCTCCCCCAACCCTGCCCAGCCCCCACAGGTGTCCCTCCCCACGAGCAAAATCAACAATAATAATAATAATAATAATAATAATAATAATAATAATAATAATAATAATAATAATAATAATAATAATAATAATAATAATAATAATAATAATAATAATAGTAAAGTTGGAAGGGACCTTGGAGGTCATCTAGTCCAACCCCCTGCTCAGGCAGGAAACCCTATACCATTTCGGACAAATAGCTGTCCAGTCTCTTCTTAAAAACCTCTAGTGTTGGAGCATTCACCGCTTCTGGAGGCAGGTTGTTCCACTGGTTAATTGTTCTATCTGTCAGGAAGTTTCTCCTTAGTTCTAGGTTGCTTCTCTCCTTGGTTAGTTTCCACCCATTGCTTCTTGTCCTGCCTTCAGGCGCTTTGGAAAATAGCTTGACTCCCTCTTCTTTGGGGCAGCCCCTGAGATACTGGAACACTGCTATCATGTCCCCCCTCGTCCTTCTCTTCATTAAACTAGACATACCCAATTCCAGCAGCCTTTCCTTATATGCTTTAGCCTCCAGTCCCCTAATCATCTTTGTTGCTCTTCTCTGCACTCTTTCTAGAGTCTCAGCATCTTTTTTACATCGTGGTGACCAAAACTGGATGCAGTATTCCAAGTGTGGCCTTACCAAGGCCTTGTAAAGTGGTATTAACACTTCATGTGATCTTGATTTTATCCCTCTGTTAATGCAGCGTAGCACTGTGTTGGCTTTTTTGGCAGCTGCAGCACACTGCTGGCCCATATCTAAGTGATTGTCCACTGCACTTCCCTCCATTTGTTGCGTCTTTTATTGCAGTGACAAACAAGATTTTTATTGCTATGCGGCGCCGTTCCCTCTCTTTCCCTGGCGAACCCAGATTTTGGAGGGGCCGAGAACTTCAGCGGAACTTGGGAGGAGGTGGGGCAGGGGCCGAAGGGGTGGGGCGAGGATGGAGACCAGGCCCTGTCATTGGCGAAGCGAAGCTGTTCTCCATAGCAGGTGTAAATAAAACACACAACTCAGCGCGGCGTTCGGATCCTTCTCACTTCAGGACAGGGGTAGGCAACCTTGGCTCTTTTATGACTCGTGGACTTCAACTCCCAGAATTCCTGGGGTAGGCAACCTTGGCTCTTTTATGACTCGTGGACTTCAACTCCCAGAATTCCTGGGGTAGGCAACCTTGGCTCTTTTATGACTCGTGGACTTCAACTCCCAGAATTCCTGGGGTAGGCAACCTTGGCTCTTTTATGACTC